GTGGCCCCCGTGGCTGCTCAACTTTATCAAGGTGTTGTACACGCGGAATCGGTGCGCCATCGTGCTGGGCGGCACGAGGCACCAAGGCTTCGACATCACCAGGGGCATCCGGCAGGGCGATCCGCTCTCTCCCCTCTTGTTTGCGGTGGCCTCGAACCTGCTCATTTGCACGCTGTTGCGGAAGATCCCCGTTGGTACACTCAGGGCTTATGCAGATGACACGGCTTTCGTGCACAAGAATATGTGGTTGTACTTCTCTTCGTTGGAGGCCATATTCAACGAGTACGGGCGGGTATCGGGACTATCGCTGAACGTGGGCAAGACCGTCTTGGTGCCCCTGGGGTCGTTCGATGCCAACGTGGCCCGGGAGCGCTTGCACCGCGTCGCCCCTGCGCGGGGCGGCTTGGATATCAGTTCGCAGGCGAAGTATCTCGGATTCGTCGTCGGCCCCGGTCGGGCAGAGCTGTCCTGGCGCGCCCCGGTCGAGAAATACGCTACCCGGGCAGAACTTTGGAGCGCAGCAGGCCTGGGGATGTTGAACACGTTGGACGCGTACTCCGTTTTCGTGGCCCCGGTGCTGTCGTTCGTCTCCCAGCTCGACCCGCTTCCCGCGTCCTTCGCGGACGTGGAGGCCAGGGTGTGCGAGAGTTTGTTCCGGGGGCCCTCGCACTGGATGTCATCCGACTTCCTCGAGGCACTCACCTCGTTCGCCTTCCCGAAGAATTTGCTCGACGTCCGCTGGTCGTCTGTTGCTGCCCGAGCTCGCGTGGCGCAATTCGAGGACTCGGCCAACGGGGGCCTCAGAGTGCACCAGCGCGCCAGGGAACTTCGAGAGGCGATCCACCAACCCAGGAACGCCGCTCTGGCACTCAGCATGTTGCCCTGGTTGTCAAAGAACTTCCTCTTCTCGTTGGCCGACGCCTTGCAACAGGTGCAAGCCCGGGAGCGTAAACTCCAGGTGGAAGTGTCCCTTCTTCGCAGGGACGGGCATGTCATCCAGGAGCGAGTGGGTTGGCAGTCCAGGGCGAGGGAGCTCCTCAACCCTCGCTCTGAGGCCCCGGCGAGAGCGCACGCCCGAGCCCGTCTGGACAGATGGCGCTCGCCCACGCTGCCGGGCCACAGGGTCGGCAAATGGCTGAGCATTCTGCATGCCAAGTCAGCTTGGCTGCCTCCGCGCGTGCAAGCTTGCCGAATCCGCACAGCATTCAATGGATGGGTGACGAGCCGCCGCATGCAAGGCAATGGCCGATGCATCTTCGGCTGCAGCGCCGAAGACAGCATCGAACAGTACGCTTTTTGTAGCGGTTTCCATTCTTCCTGCGCTCGGAAGCTGAACCTGCGCAAGCCGCCGCCTGAATGTTGTCTCGACGACTTCCTGGGCATTGCCCCGCATGCTGCGGCCCATTACGCGGATGCAGCCTCGGCGGCGGCGGCCAGAGCCATGGCAGTCTACGCGTTGTACAGGACACACAACGCCATCAGACACGGCGCGCGCTCCGCGGAGTGCGCGGAACTGTTTAATGGTTTTCTACGCGAGGCCACCCGCGGCCATGGGAAAGCCATGAGCCTGGTTGCCTCCGCCTTCAAGCGGCCGCGCCCCGAATGAATTCGTGCTGTGGGTTGCTCCTCGTTTCTCCCCTGTCCTCTCCTCGTCCTCCTTCTCTCGTCCTTCCCTCTCCTCCCAGTGCCGTAGAGATTTTGGCCTGGATCGCCGGTTACGGCCACAGCTAGGTGGCCGGAGGCTTCGGTTGGGAAACCAAGGTTGTTTTATGACTCACTGTGCGTAGGCCCACTCGGCTCTGTCCCGGCCGCGTGGCCGATAGCTTGCGTGCGCGGCTGTTTTTCCCTCCTCCCTCCTCCTCCTCCTCCTCCTCCTCCTCCCCGGCGGGCCACAGCTTCGCGCACTGCGAAGTCCCCCTCCCTTCTCTTCCTCCCGCGCTCTCCTCCCTGAGGCGGAACGCTGGCTTACCCTGCTGCTGGGGCAGGCCTGCTTTCCGCCTCCTCTTCCGGCTCCCCCTCGCTCCACCCCATTGGCGAATGCCCTCGAGCCCACATCGGGCGCGGCCCGGGAGCAGACGGCGATTGTCGCCAGACGGGCTTGGGTGTTTGCAGATTCGTTTCTCACGTTTTAGTGGTCGGCAGTGTTTGCGTGGCTCCTGTCTGGGGACTCGCCTCGCATTTGTTTTCCTAGTTATTCATCCCCTGCTTTAGGTCGTTGCTTTTTGTTGCGGGCCTGGTCAGCCCTGCTCTCGCTTCCCCTCCCGTCGTGGTCGTCGTCCCTCTCTCCTTGTTTGTGTCATTTCACCTAATCGTGCTGCCGTTTGGCCGCTCGGTTTTCGAGGGCGTGTAGGTTTGCGTGGTAGTTCACGGGGCTTCGTGGCGCGCCTTAGTTTGGTCCCCATCTTGGGGCCTTGTGCTTCCCTCCTCCCTCCCCTCCCTCCTCGCCTCCTGCTGGCGCACGGTCCGCCCGCTGTCTCCCTCAGGCCGCGGTTCACTTCACGGGCTTGCCTATTGCAGGTCGGCTCGCGTGGTGTCTCCGGTGCGCCCTGCGTCCTTTTGACTCTTCGTGGCCGCAGCGCTGCATCGAGTTCTACTCTGGGCGTCATTCAGGCAGGTCCCGCCCCCTTCTCTCCCCGCCTCCTCCTTCCTCCTCTTCTTTCCCTCCCCTCTTCGTGTGGCCGGTTGGTTTGTCTTCTGGCTTGGGCCAGGACTTGCAGCCGAGGCGCATCTTCGTGTTGAGTCATCGTGAGAAAAAAAAAACTTCATCGACACATAGGTGCCTTCCCGGCGCCGGGGAAATCTGCCACGTGAGACGATTCGTTAACCTCCCGCTTCGCTACCCTCCCCCCTTCGTCCGACCCGGAAGACGTCCGGCAGGTTGTTGCTTCAATCTTTCGGGGGCCCCGAGGTCAGGACGTGGCAAACCAGGGCTCTGCGGGATCCAGCCAGAGAAGACAAAGCTTACGATGTTCCAAACCTACTTTAGCCTTGACCACCAGAAAGAACTTCGAGCACCAGGAAAACTACCGAAACTCGAGGGTTCTCACGCGCCGGGCCCTGGGAGGCGACACTCGCTCGACGCTGCTTCGACATCTTTCTGGGTGCTCGAGAGCACCTCGGGGGCACGGTGGGAGCCACCTACAAGCCAGAGCATGGAGACTGCTTCGGCCCACGGCTGCAGACCTTCCGAGCGTGCCAGCGGCCCTGCTCCTCGAAGCCCCCGTCCACGGACGGGGCCCCGAAGCGTGCTCCTCCTCGCCTCCGGCCTCCGGGGGTCCAGTTCGGGCCCCGGTGCACTCCACCAGGGGCCCGGGGCGGAGCACTGGCAGCAGGGAACGGGCGGGGACCTCGGGGGTCATGGGGAAGGGGCGAGGTCTGGCACCTCTCGTTCCGTTTGGGACCTCCTGGGTGGTGGTCGTGGTGACGGCTGCACGCAGCTCGAACAACTTGCCAGAGTGAGCATTGGCCAGCCAGTCCCAGGATGCGGACAAATCGCCCCAGAGCTTCCGAGACGCTCTCGGCGAGTTCCGGAGCGCACTCCGAACAGCAACGGTGCCCGATGTTTTCTTCATCGGCCAAGAATGAAGCGACACCACCCCGCCTACGGCCCTCCATGTTGCACGACGGCCTATCGGGGGCCGTAGCGTATGTCACTCAAAAGGCCACGCCAGATTTCTTGGTATCTGCTACGTCCCGTGGGGCCGCAGGTAGGGTGGTGTCGTTTGTTTCCTGGTCCATTTTAGACCCGCCAGGTTTTAGAGATTCCCGATTCGCTTCTGTCCCCGCGGCCCGTATGCCAGGGCCCCGACACTGCACCCAGAGGAGACGTGTGGTACGGTGATCATCGGCTGTCCGCATCCCCATTCCTTTCCCCCTCCCCACTCTCCATGGGACGTGCTGACACATGACAAATAAGGTCGGACCGTGGTATAAGATCGAGGTCAGCTCGGGGAGGGTACCCTAGTGTTATTCGTGGTTCTTGGATGTTCTTGTGCACCCTGGAGAGGTACCCTAGGATGTTCTGTGTTTTGGCCCGCGGAGGGTCTCGTGTTCTTGAGAAATGTTATTCTGTCATAGGGTCGACTGTATTCCCCATCTATCCTCACCCGACTCCGTCCTCATCCCGCCTTCGACTTGCATCGGGACAGGGGTCCGGGGAGCATGGTCTTTGAGCGCGCGCCTTTGGCCAGGGCCCTTCCAGGGCCCCCCTGGCCCCAACCCGCGGCCGCCTTTGCTCTCAAGCGCCTCCGCCGAGCGCTCTACAACCCCGCCGGACCGGCGGATCTCGACATCAGGGCGCGATCTACACGGTGTTTTTTGGCGATGTTGCTTGCTGTTTTCGTCTTGTTTCTGGCGTCGCGCGCCACGCCGTTGATAGGGCCAGCTACCAAGGGGCCCTTGGAGCGGGAGGCAGCGCCCCTTCTGGCAGTGATCGAGAAGTGAGGGAGAGGACGGCACACAATGATGAGGAGGAGGAGGCGCTTGTTCTTGAGACGACGGAGAGACATACTCTGAGTAGAGGGGCGCGTTCTGGTAGTGAGCGGTTGGCTCTCTTGGTGGCCCAAGGCATTATCCCTGACCGCTTTCGGGCCACGAGTTTCGATACACATTCCAGCCTTAATCTCCCTCCTATCTCCTATCCCGATTGCGGTGGCTCCCAAGCGGGATCCACGCAGTGGGAAGGGCAGTACAAAAGGCCGAGGCACTAGTCGTGAGTCGGTTCCCTAGTTGGTCCGCATCGTACGGCTGCGCGGCGTCCATCGGGTTTGCCACCGTGTGGGGACGGTGTTGGTGCTGCCAGTGGGGGTTCTGCCATCTTTCACGGTTAACCAGCTCCCTCATAAATCGGGACGCGCAGAGTTCGTTGCCAGCTTCGTGGTGTGAGTCCCGAGTCACTCATTTAACCTTCCCGCACAATGGTCATTACTCATTGCTCCTCCTCCTCCTCCTCCTCCTCCTCCTCCTCCTCCTCCTCCACCCTTCTCCCCCATCCCCGCCCGAGCCCCCAGAGCGCCCCCGCCCCCCCCCCGCGGTCCTCCTCGGCGGGGTGCGCCATGGCGCGCGACGCAAGCGGCGAGTGCCGCGGCGGCGCGGGCGCCCCTCGAGGGCCGGCCGGGGACGACGACGACGACGAGGAAGGGAGGAGGAGGAGGAGGAGAAGGAGGCGGAGAGGTAAACGAGGTAAACCACCACCACGACCACGACGACTACCACCACCACGGCGGCGGCGGAGGAGGAGGGAGGTGCTGCAGGAGGATGGGAGAAGGAGGGCGAGCATGAGGACGAGCAAGAGGAGAGGAGCATGCTCCCTCGCATCCCGCGGGTAGGGGGGAAGGGCCCCCCACGAGCCAGGCGGCACCGGGCCAACGCCAAGCGCAACCCGCCCTCCCCCGCACAGGCAGGAAGGGCCCGAATCCAGGAGTGGCTTCACGAGGGGTCCGCTCCCCCCAAACCGCCATCCCCGTTCACCGCCTCCACAGAGACTTGGGACTACCCGTCCTCGATGTTGAGCTCATCCTTCGCCTTCAGGACAAGCCCGAGGATGCCCTCGGCCTTCTTGCTGCCCAGCGCCTGCTGGAGGGTCTGCTCGAACTCGAGCCTGCTGACCTCATCAGCAGCTTGTTGAGCTCGACCATGTTGCCAAAAACTGCGCCACGCTCCTCCTCGCCCCCTCGAAGCGCACCTCCTGCATCTTGCCCGAACCGTCGGACATCTCCGTGTTGAAGCCGTGGATCCGCCCGCAGACCAGCACCATCTTGTGCCTGCCTTTGCGGTCGTCCCACTCCTTGACGAAAAACATGTCCGACCCGAGCTCCAGCTCCTCCAGGCATCCACCTGAATCCGCACGATGGGCGAAGACGTGCGGCCCGCCAGCCGGGGGCAAGATGAACACAAAGCCCTTGTTGCCAGAGTACTGGATTAGCTGGCCGACTACCCTCGACGTCGCTTTCCCCGAGCCCATGCCGAAGAAGTCAACCGCCTCGCTCGTGTCCTCGAGCCCTCCGCTGAGCTTCTTGACGTACGCCTGCAGCGGCACGTGCCCAAGGCCCATCGCGTCCTCTCCGCGTACCTCGACCAGCGGTTCCGCTTCATCACCGATGAAGCAACTTCCTGTTTCACCGTCTTGTCCTTCTTGTGCGGGATCGCTGTGGATTCCGCCGGATTTTCCGCAGCCTCGCGGAGAAATTGCACCGCGACCTCCTTGACTTTCTGCTGGTAGTAACCCGCAGGGAAGAACAACGGCACCTCCTCCAGGGTCTTCACCTGACTAGCAGTTGTTCAAGACTGCATCTTCCTCCTCCGAGTCTGATGGCTTCAATTTGCCTTCTTGCACGACGCAAGGGATTGCCACGTGCCTTGAGCCTTCGCACCGCCTCGGAGGCGTGCGGGGCGCCTTCGGGTGGTGCTTCACCTGCGCAGCCGCTTGGCGCACCTTGGGGCAGTGCACCGACTCGGCTTCGCTCCTCATGTCCTCCCGCATCTCCTTCACCCGATCCTCCGGCATGAAACCGGGGAACCCCCACGAGCTCCTCGGCGTGAACGACAGCCTCGACATCTTGCGCTTGCAGCCCGACCGCGATCGAGCGAACCCGGTCGTCGAGCTCCTTCGTGAGGATATTGTTCGCGATGCGCAGCACGAGGTTCATGTTGCCATGGGTCGGCTCGGGGCAGTTCCGCCCCTGTCAAGTGCGCTGCCCACAAAGGTCCCCTTTCGAGACCTGAAAGGGGCCACGAGGAGGACGAGGACGAGGAGGAGGGCAAGCAAGAGGGATGGGGAAGAGGACATGAGAGGAGGGATGAGGAGAGAGTAGAGCAGGGAGGAAACAGGAAGGAGCGACGCAGGAGGAAGGGGAGATCTTCAGAAGGTTCTGGGTGATCTCGGCGAGAGGAGGGAGGAAAAGGGGGAGGAGGAGGGAGAGGAGGAGGAGGAGGAGGAGGAGGAGGAGGAGAAGAAGAAGAAGAAGGAATAGGAGGAGAAGGAGGAGGAGGAGGAGGAGAAGGCGGGACGAGTAGAAGGAGTTTCAAGGAGGGAGGAGGGAGGAGGAGCTGCTGGAGGGAGCTGCAGCTCAGCCTCTCTCTTCCCCTTGTCATTTTCATCGTCGTTCTCATCGTCACCACCCTCCTCTTTATCCGCAACTATGCTCTCATCACTCACTTTCGCCTCTAGTCGTCATCATCAGCAGCATCATCAGAATCGTCGTCATCGCAATCGTCATCCCCCTCAGCAGCAGCATCCTCATCATCACCATCATGATCATCATTAACACCAGCAGCATCATCTTCGTCATCAACATCGTTATCACTAAATGCATCATCATCCTTATCCTCGCCCCCATCCTCATCATCATCCTCGGTTGCCACTCCTCCCTCCTCCTCCTCCTCCTCCTCTTCCTCCTACTCCTCGAACCTGCTCCTTCCTCATCATCATCATCATCCTCCTACTCCTCCTCCTCTTGCTCCTCCTCCTCCTCCTCCTCCTCCTCCTCCTCCTCCTCCCTCCCCTCCTCCTCCACACCCTTGTCTTTCCCCCCCGCATCCTTGCCCTGCCCCCCCCCCCCTCCTCCTGCACCTCCCTCCCAGTCCACAGAGGTCCTCTGGAGGTCTCCCGAGGTCCCCTGAGGTCTCAGGGGTCCAACAGGCTCCCAGAAAAAGATGATGGAGACTTTGGAGGCGAAACCGGCCAGAAGTGTCCAGAACAATTCATACTCGATCCTATTCCAAAGATTCCCGAAGTCGTGACTTTCTTTGAATCGTGGACATCCAGACGTATCGCCCCCTTCCTCGGGGCCGGCTTCTGATGCCGAGCATCCCTTGACGTCCCCTGGGCTGAGGAGCGGCTTGCATGCAAGCCGAAACATTGAGAATCGGCCGTGCCGATGTTCCCTGCAAAATATGTTTATACCCAGGCCTCCCGCTGATTGTGTTTTGTCCAGAGTCTCAAGGCGAATGTAGTCGTCGCGACGTGAAACCTCGCAGTTGCCCAGTAAAAGCGCATGACATCAAGAAGCTCGATCCTCGAAGCTCGACCCTCGAAGCTCGAAGCTGGAAGCTCGACCCTTGGACGGATCCCTCCTCCGATCGCCGTCTCGGCCCGGGCGTGGGAGAAGGGGCTCCTCATCGTCATTGTCATCGTCGTCCTCCTCGTCATCACCCTCTTTTTTCTCTGCCCACTGCTCGGCCACCTGCTGGCGTCATTCCTCCTCGTTGCTGGTCGCTGTCGCTGGCGCCATCCCACTCGGTCGTCATCATCCTCCTCGCCCTCGCCCTCATCTCGGCGGCGAGCGACGGGGGGAAGTGAGAAGGAGAAGGCCCTCTCAGAAGGCGGCGGGATCTCTCAGAAGCCCTCGCGCCTTCTGAGAAGTTTCCTCCGCCTTCGGCGAAGCCTCAGAGCACTTCTCAGAAGGCCTGGGGGCTTCCGAGCCTTCTGAGGAGGCTCGCCCTTGCTCATGTGCCCGTGGGCTCGCCGCCGATGGCGACGACGTCGGTTTAGGGGGGCCACGGAGCGGAAAAATTCGCTTCTAGATTGTATCTTCGAAGAAAAAGCTCTTCATTTGCAAACATCCCTGGAGTTTCCCGAAAAATGGTCATCGTCATCCTCGTCATCCTCGGATCGCCGTTTCGGCCCGGGCGCGGGAGCGAGAGGGGGGGCGGCCCGCGGCGCCCCGCGGCGGCGGCCTCGGAGCGCCCGCGGCGCGCGGGACTCCACTCGCGGCCGCGGCGGCGGGGGTGGTGGGGAGGCATGCCCGCGCCGCGGCGGGTGCAGGACGCCCCCGCCAGACCCCCTCCTCCTCCTCCTCCTCCTCCTCCATCATCCCTCCTCTTCCTCCATTCCTCCTCCTCCTCCTCCTCCTGCTCCTCCTCCTCCTCCTCATCATCATCATCATCGTCAGCATCAGCATCAGCATCATCATCAGCATCATCATCATCATCAGAGTGAGGGGGCCGAACGGTCATTCACTGTCCCTGGGTGCGTGGCTGAAGTGGGATTCCGCGGTGCGGATTCCCGTTGTTGTTGTTTGTTGTTGTTTATTGTTGTTGCTGTTTGTTGTCGTCGTCCCACCCGCAACCCGTCCCACCCCGCGACCCACCCGCGCCCGCACCCGCGACCCACCCGCGACCCACCCCGCGACCCACCCCGCGACCCACCCGCGACCCACCCGCGACCCACCCGCGACCCACCCCGCGACCCACCCCGCGACCCCCCCGCGACCCACCCCGCGACCCACCCGCGACCCACCCGCGACCCACCCGCGCGACCCACCCGCGACCCACCCACGACCCACCCGCGACCCACCCCGCGACCCACCCGCGACCCACCTTCGACCCAAACCACGTTCAAGGTACAAACCACAATTGTCAGCGCCTGCGGCGGGCTTTTTTGCATTCTTTCCAGGTGGAGAGCCCGCGACCCACCCCGCGACCAATTCGCGACCAACCCGCGACCCAAACCACGTTCAGGATACAAACCACATTTTTCGGCGCCTGCGGCGGGCATCTTTTGCATTCGGTTCAGGTGGAGAGCCCGCGGCCCACCCGCGACCACGTTCAGGGTACAAACCAAATTTTTCGGCGCCTGCGGCGGGCATACAAACCAATTTGTTCGGCGCCTGCGGCGGGCTGCTTTTGCATTCCTTCCAGGTGGAGGTGGAGAGCCCGCGACACACCCGCGACCTTAACCACGTTCACTGAACAAACCAATGCCGCACAAGCGCGGCGGCGGATTTTCGCATGCCGTCTGAGCCCGCAACGACCTCTTCAAGCCCCGCGCATCCACACCAGCCCGTCCAGCAACTTTGCCCTGGCGAGCTGCCTTGATCAGAAAAATCGGGGAGCACAAAGTGGAAAAAAGGATTGCGTTGCCGTTATCTTGGGAAAGGAGGGGGAGGCAGGAGGAGTAAACAGGGGACGAGGAGGACGCGGAAGAAGAGAGGATGTAAGGAGAATGTGGAGAAAGAGGAGCAGGTGGACGAGGAGGGGGAGGAGGGGGAGGAGGAACACGAGGAGGGGGAGGAGGGGGAGGAGGATGATGATGGACGACAATGGGAGGACGATGATTGAGGCCGATGAGGGGGAGGGCGACAATGGGAGGACGATGATGGAAGGACGAGGAGGGGAGAGGGAGGACGAGGAAGAAGAGGAGGAGGACGAGGTAGAGGAGGAGGATGACGATGACGAAGAGGGCGAGGACGAGGACGAGGAAGAGGAGGAGGAGGAGGAGGAGGAGGAGGAGGAGGAGGAGGAGGAGGAGGAGGAGGAGAGCGTCATCGACAGGGAAGGTGGGGGCCACGAGGTCCGCCGGCTCGACGACGCCCGCGTCGCCCGCGCCCGCGCCCGCCCCCTCACTCTTATCCGCTATTGCGGGGTGCTACGTAACCATCATCATCATCATCATCATCATCATCATCATCATCATCATCATCATCATCATCATCATCATCATCATCATCATCATCAGCCCCCTCCTTCTCCCTCCCCTCCTCCCTCCCCTCCTCCCTCTCCCTCCCCGGGCGACCTGCGTGGATCAAGCCAGATGGATCAACTCGGCGGCGGGCGAGGGGGAGAGGTGAGAAGGAGAAGGACTTCTCAGAAGGCGGCAGGGCTTCTCAGGAGGCCCCGGGCCTTCTGAGAAGCTGTCTCTGTCTTCGGGGACACCGTCGGACCGAGGCATATGGTCGAGGTCGGCTCGGGGAGGGTGCCCCAATGTTCTTCGTGTCTGTTGAATGGTATTGTGCTTCATGGAGAGGGTACCCTAGGATGTTCTGTGTGTTTTGGCTGGCAGAGGGTCTCATGTGCTTGAAGGATGTTATTACGTCCTAGTCCGACTGTAGATCTACGATGAAGGCGCTGAAATGAGGACTTCTCTCCTGTCGACTTGTGGAGATCAAGCTAGATACATTTACAGTAAACGCACCTAGTGTGGACACGCGCCTTCATCCATGGTACCCTTGTGTCCTTGCCTCTGCGCACCGTCCTTTGCCGCTTTCACTGGTCGCCCGCGCCCAGGAAATCCCAGTTTCGGCTTCCAAGGGACTTGCGTCCTTTCCACCAGTCTTGAATACACGTTTGACT